TCTGCCCGGTCCAAAACCGTTAACTAAAATTTCAACATTTCTAACATTAATCCTTTTATCCTTGATCTTTTCAATCAATCCAACGGCAGCTCGATGAGCAGCTTCATAGCCTCCTCTCTGAGCTTTCTTAAATCCAACAATACCACCCGAGGTGGTTATCAACACATCTTTTCTCGAATTTGTCAATGTTACTATGGTATTGTTATAGGATGCATGGATATGAATTCGATATAGTTCTTCCGACGGTAAAAGAAAATCCGATAATAATTTTGCCACATCTGCATTTGAACTTTTTTGTGTAGATGATGGTTTTTGTTTTCCTTTCGAAGTTTTGATCAAGTTTAGTAGGGTGTCTTCTTCTTCTTCCGCCACAGGTTTCAACGGTTCGGCTTCATTAGAGAAATTCAATAGAAATTGATCGTACTCTTCGGTTGCTGTGCTGCTTACTTTGAGCGTCTCAGAATTTTTGTCGCTACCCTGATCGGACGGAAAGCCTTGGGTAGAAGGATGACTTATTGTCGGCTGAGAAGTTTCCTTAGCACTCTGGGGATTTGCGTCCTTGAAATGTGAACGCTTTTCTTCATCTAGCAAACTTTTTAGATTAGAAATTCCTATGTCGTCAACGTCACTTTTATTCTCCGAAGAAAAAAAACGGTTTCGACGTCTAAAGGATAAAGCTTCAAGTCTAGTTTGTCTATGGAATATATGGTTATTACATAGGGACCGGATAACTCTGATCGAAAACATGAGAAGTCGGAAGCACGTAAAATTCGATAATCGGTGTGAAACTTTGATCTGGACTAAGCCGCTGATCGTCCGAGATATTGTATGTCGATGTGGAGATGATTTTTCCTCGTGTTGGGAGATCATGCATTATTGATCATTGATTTTAAAAAAAAATCTATTGTTTTATGCTGATAATGGATATGTGTATGTAAGGAGTACTCCCATATTTACACAAAGATGTTTGGCTTTATTCAGGCGTTGTCGTGAAACACTTTTGAGTTTATTAGTTTATCTATGCGAAAAATTTCCATCTAGTAATTTGTATTTTTCCACTTACCTTTTTTGGAATGTTGCTGACTCAAACTAATCATTATCCACGTCACAAGTTGTCATCATATGAATATCAGTATGATTACGTACATGCATAATCTTAATCATAAAAACCTGAGCCTTTGGTTGGTTTTTTTGAATTTCTTGATATCGTTCGAGTTCTTCTTAAAACTTTCGCTTAGGAAATTTTTGTATATCACGATCCACCATCATGCCTAAAACCTTAACCGTTGAAGAAGTTGCTCAACATAAAACCGAAAATTCGATTTGGATCATTGTTCATGATAAAGTTTACGATGTTACAAACTTTTTGAATGAACATCCTGGCGGCAAGAAAGTCTTACTCAAAGTTGCCGGAACCGATGCAACAAAGCAGTTCGACAATTTTCATTCATTGGATGTTGTGAAGAAGTACCCTCAGTTGCTCATTGGCAGTATTGGTTCCGAGCAAACGGAGAGTGAAGCCGACACTGCCTCAAGCGAAGGACCATACGGAGATCTTGTGCCTTTTGGAGACCCTTCTTGGTATCAAGACTTCCAAAGTCCATATTATGGCGAATCTCATCGCCGTTTACGTGCCGCCGTTCGTAAGTTTGTGGAAACCGAGATCATGCCACATTCATTCGAGTGGGATGAGGCGAAGCACATCCCCAAGGAACTTTTCATAAAAGCCGCCAAAGTCGGTATTTTACCTGCAGTCTGTGGTGCACCGTGGCCGACAAAGTAATTTCGAAAAAATTTTTCGTGATTGTAAAATCATTCGCATGTTTTAATATTTGCCAAATTAGATTTGCAAAATATCCTCCTGCCGGTGGAGTCAAGCCTGAAGAATTCGATCATTTTCACGAATTCATTGTTACCGACGAATTGGCTCGTTGTGGTTCTGGCGGAATTCTGTGGGGTTTAACTGGTGGTATGTATAATAAAATCTTTCATTGGTCAACATTCCTTCCTATCATTTAACGCTCGTGGGTCCACGATCTAGGTTTGGGCATTGGCCTTCCGCCAATTCTTAAATTTGCTAATGAGGAACTGAGGAACAGAATTGCACCGGGTTGTCTTTCCGGGGAAAAGAATATTTGTCTCGCCATCACGGAACCTTATGCTGGATCTGACGTCGCCGGTCTTAAAACGGAAGCTAAGCTCACGGATGATGGTCAACATTATATTGTTAATGGAGAGAAGAAGTGGATCACAAATGGTGTCTTTGCTGATTACTTCACTGTAGCCGTTCGAACTGGAGGCCCTGGCATGGGTGGAGTATCTCTTCTTTTAATTGAGAGAAGCCGGCCCGGAGTGAAGACTCGTCAGATGCAATGCACCGGTGTCTGGGCTTCCGGTACGGCATATATTACCTTTGAAGATGTGAA